TGCTGGCTGCCCAACCCGCAGGAGGAGTGCCCGTCCCCCAGTAGGAGTGCCCGTCTCCCCCAGGAGGAGGGCCCGTCCCCCAGGAGGGGTGCCCGTCCCCCAGGAGGAGTGCCTGTCCCCCAGGAGGAGTGCCCGTCCCCCAGGAGGAGGGACTGTCCCCCAGGAGGGGTGCCCGTCCCCCAAGAGGAGTGCCCGTGTGCGGGTCGGCCTGCTGGGGTAGCACAGACTGCCCTGCAGCCCAGCGGATTAAAGGGGTTTTTGTTGAGGCAGAGCAGATGGACAGAGAGCGGCAGAGTTCAAATTAACCCGTCATAAATCAGGACGCCCTGTAGGAAGGGAAAAATCTGGCAGGGGGTCAATGGGGAAAAAAGGGACATTTGTAATACTTTCAACAATAAAGATAAAAAAAGAAAAGAAATCTGAGCCTGGTCACTTAGATGTTTGAGCTAATTTAATTTATGATTTTTTCCTTACTAGAAAAGCACCTCGTGCTTATTTTAAAAAAACCGGTGTGAAGAATGAAAAAAGCGTGTGTGCAGACAGGAAGATAAACCCCACGTCCCCAGAAAGAATTGCTGTCATCCGTTTCAGTCGAATCCTTCTGGTTTTGCCCCGTCTCCTGCTAACACACACACACACACACACACACACTCACACACTCATGCATGCATAAATGTGTGTGTGTGTATGTGTGTGTGTGTATTTATTGGCAGAATATTATTCAATAAGAGTAAACATACTCTTTCACCTAGATGTTGAAAGAAGGTGGGAGCCAGGCCTCGAAGACCAGAACATCCGCGTGATAGTTTGGGTCAGGCCACCAGCATCAATTTGAGTAATAAAACCAAACACAGCGTGTAAATTTATGTTTGGGGAAGTTGGGGCAAGTCCAGGGAAGAAGTGCATTGGTGCAGAGGGCCGGCTGAATTTCTTCCTTCCAGGAACGCCTCGGGGAGCTCCCCAGAAAGAACTGCCCGTCTGTGTGCGGTGGTCCTTTCGCCCCCTAGTGGTTCAAGGAGAACTGTTCGGGCAGGAAAAGAATTCTGTGCATTGGACCCCCTCTCTGGGCCCATTTCTAATGGTCTGTTTGGTCCCCCTGTCAATATATTTACCAAAGCCCACGACAGGATCAATGCCTGAGCCTCGTAGGTCTCCGGCACGTCGGGGCTCAGGTCATTGGACTGAATGTAGCGCCGTGTTTTATGACAGCGGGACACTATTAAATGCTTACCTCGTGGGGTGAGAGACACATTCCTGGAGAGGCACTAAGGTGGGTTGGCCCATCACCATCTGCGACGTGCTTTCTAGAAGTCATTAGTGTTCGTGGACAGTTCTTGTAGTGCCAGTTCTACTCACTATGACAAAATCTAATTACATATAAAAATTAGTGAAAACCCAACCCAATGGAACCTAATACAGTTGTTTCAGTAGAAATAATTGGAATGCGTTAAAGTCTCCATGGTGCTGACTTACTAAAAAGACACCAGGGGTTAAATTATGTGAAATATTGTGAAAAATGGTAAAAGTCTAGAGTTGTGCACTCAGATTATTCCTGTTGGTGTCTTTAAGTTATTTTCAGTGCTGAAGGAACAAAAGCTAGGAATCCTCATTGGTGTTGAATGAACGATGGAGTCATTATTACTCTTTCTTTCCTCTCTCTTGTGAGTTAAATGGGCTTGTTACAAGATGCCAGTAACATAAAGATTTTATGGTGTTGCTCCCTCGTGTGAGAATTGGACCCGTCGCCCTGACATGGGGCTGGACACAGGCCCTGACCAGCCAGTTCCACCTTCATCTCTCTGTTCCCTGCCTTCACGCCATGTTTTTGTACTTGCTAAAGGGGCACACATGTGTCCTACTCACGTGCTCTCTCACCTCTGTGCCTGCCTCCCTTCTATTGCGGGCAACCAGGATCCTCCGTCTGGTCAGTTCTGGCCTCACCTCTCCTGTGAAGCATTGGTCCACACCTCTCTGCCCCCCACCCATCCACTCATTATTTGATTCTCGCCTCCACTCGAAGGTTGAGTTCCGTGGATCCTGCCCTTAGACTGCCTGGCATACAGCAGGCGTCCAGTGCATGGTGCTGGAATGTTGATTGAATAGTCAGTGCCTTCTGTGTGCTGAGCACTGTTCTAGATCCTTCTTCAAAGGGGGACTTCCCCTCCTTCCTGGTCCCTCACTCAGCTCACTGACTCACTCCCATCATTTCACACGCTATTTTGCACCAGCAGCATCTGTCTGGCTGTCTTTCCTACCAGCTCATGGATTAGCAAACTACAGCTGGTGGGCAAAATCAGACCACTACCTTTTGTTTTATTACTAGAGGCCCGGTGCACAAAATTCATACACTCTACGAGGGGGCAGGGTGTCTCTCAGCCTGGCTTGTGCCCTCTTGCAGTCCGGGAGCCCTCGGGGGATGTCCTAAGCTGGCAGTTGGACATCCTTAGTGCTGCCATGGAAGTGGGAGAGACTCCCACCACTGCCACTATGTTCCCCCTCTGAGAGTGCACTGACCACCAGGGGACAGCTGCTGTGTTGAGTGTCTTCCCCCTGGTCACTCACAGTGTGTGTCATAGTGACCTGTTGTTCTGCCATCGGGCCGAAACCAGCTCTCTTGATATCCCCTGAGGGGTCCCGGATTGTGAGAAGGCACAGGCCAGGCTGAGGGACCCCACTGGCGCATGATCAGGGCCAGGAGGGATGTGGGAGGTTGGCCAGCTGGGGAGAGACCGCAGGAGGGCTCCATGGCGTGTCTGGCCCTTCTCGCTCGGTCCCAATTGGCCAGACCCCAGCAGCAAGCTAACCTACGGGTTGGAGCGTCTGCCCCCCGGTGGTCAGTCTATGTCATAACAAGCAGTTGAGCGGCCTTAGCATATCGTTAGCATATTACACTGTGATTTGTTGAACGGATGACTGACAACCAGACACTTTGCGTATTAGGCTTTTATTATATAGGAGTTTTTGGTATGGCTTGGGAGCTGAGGATGGTGTTTGCACTTTAACCCTTTGAGTGCCAACCAATATCCCAGGAACTATGCTAAAATTGCCAAGGCATTTTTGCTGATTTTACAGCAGTTTAGGAAAGAAATTATGAATCGCGAGTAAATGAAGTTACATATTCAAAAATTAAGGAAACCTTCACTACGTTTGTTTTCATCTTTGACATATATTGTTTGCTGATTGTATTATAAAATACTAGTAGAAAAAAAATTTGAATAGCGCTCCCGGCACTTTTGGCGAAAGACAGGAGGAGCGGGATCGCGCTCCCCGGCACTCTAGGGGTTAAACTATGAAATACAGACCAAAGACTGTTAGCCTTTGGCGGGGAGACCCTGGTTGGGAGAATTGCAAACACTGTCTCTTGGCCAGGACACGCCACACTGTTTACTGTCAGGCCCTTTATGGCACACGCTTCCTGACTCCTGCCTGAGGCACGGTTTTAGGATCCGGGGACCCAGGTCAGTCTCTGAATTCCTAGGGTGCAGCACTCAATAGGCGTTTTTTTGAGTTGAACTGAACTCACTGTTTATTATTCCTTCCTCTGGAGTTGGATGTGGATTTGAATACCTGTGAGACTAAAGGCATCTCTGAGCCTTCGTCATCCTTTGAAGATGAGATAATCATGCCTTCTCCTGGTGGCCAGCCCGAGGAGTAAACAAAGCCATCCACATGCCAATACCTATTCAGTGTTTAGCCCAGAATTGGCATTTAAAATTTTTTATTTTATTTTTCATTTTAATCCTCACCGAAGGATATGTTTTTTTAAATTGACTTTTAGAGAGTGAAGAAGGGAGAGAGAGAGAAACATCCATGTGAGAGAGAAATATAGATTGGCTGCCTCCTGTACACACCTGGACTGGGGATCGAACCCAAAACCTTTTGGTGTACGGGATGACGCTCCAACCTACTGAGCCACCCGGCCAGGACAGCACAGAATCAGCGTTTGATGTTAGCTGTTCCATTTTTGTTCAGATAAACATCCAGCAAAAGTAACCCGATCATAACCATGTAAACCAAACTGTATAGCCGTTGCAAATTAAAAAAATAAAATAGTCCTTTTCGGTTAGCGTCTTTCTTTTTGAAAATTAAGAGCTGCCCTCCTGCCCTTTTCTCTCTCCTCCCCATGTCTGTGTGGGTTTTCTTTTTCTTTTTTCGTTTGAGGCTTAATGAGTTTCTTTTTTTTTTTAATCTTTTTTTTTATTGTTTTATTGCTTAAAGTCTTACAAAGGGTATTACATATGTGTCCTTTTCCCCCCCGCCCTTGATAATCCCCTGGCCTCCCCTACCCCTCAGTGTCTTATGTCCATTGGTTATGCTTATATGCATGCATACAAGTCCTTCGGTTGATCTCTTACCCCCCTCACTCCTGCCCTCCAACCCTTCCCGGCCTTCCCGCTGTAGTTTGACAATCTGTTTGAGGCAGCTCTGCCCCTGTAGCTGAATCAGTTTCTTAAGGTGCAGACGTAGGAAAGTTCCCAAGGCACCATTAGGACAGAAGATGGTGTGGGCACTTGAGGGGTGTGGGCACTTCCCAGAGCTCCGTCAGGGGGTAGATTCTGGAGCCGTTTCTGCCTCAGGTGCACCTTTCTCAGAGGGGCAGGAGGTGATGTGGGGCGGGGGTGGGGGTGGGGGCTCATCCTACTGCTGTACGCACTGGCTTTGAAGGCGCTGGGCACTCTATAAAGACGCATGGAACTGGAACGAGTTCAGACGGATGTGTCTTGGACCTGTGTCTTTGCAGGGACCGTGAAGGTGAAGAGTGCCAACATCCAAGTGGGAGACCTGATCATCGTCGAAAAGGTGAGGGGGCCTCTGCTGTGTGTGTAAACGGGGAGTCCCCGCCTTCACATCAATGCTGGCGTGCAGTCGGTGGCTCTGATCGAATGCTCGCTGTTTGCAGTTCCATCCAGCAGCTCTGTTGGGGAGAAAAGTCTCTCTCTTTCCTGAGGGGCACAAAGTATTTTTTCAGGTTTACATGTGTCGTTAGCTAGCAGTCCTACACAAGTTTTGATTTCCTGTTTGATGTGTTTGTTGTTCTTTTTGGGGTCTTTTTTTTTACTTACCATGAAGTCTTTCTTAGAAGTCTGTTAACTACATAAACATGTTTGTCATTTACCTTTTGAGCAATTTTAGCTTGCATTTAAAATAATTAAATATATGTCTATATTTTATTGATTTTTAGAGGGGAAGGGGTAGGGAGAGAGAGTGAATCATCGATCGACTGCTTCCTGCAAGCCCCCTACTGGGGATTGAGCCTGCAAACCGGCCATGCGGCCTGACCAGGAATCAGACTGGTAACTTTTTGGTTCACGGGACATTAAGGCCCGCATCGGCCAGGCCTTAGCTTGCATTTTTTGACTTAAACATCATGCTTTTCAATCATTTTATGGGGAGTAGAGGTTACTGGGAGAACAGTAAAAAGGCAAAAAACACATTTTTAAGAATAGCGCTGCTAATTTGCTCCTGGCTTCAGCGGACACTCACATCTCTTCTTACTGTGTTACTTGGAAGGCACTGGGTTTTGAGGCTGGTTCTGGACAGCCTCGGGATGATATTTGATTTGAAAGGAGTGTGCCTGGACTGGGCTCTGTAGGAAGTGAACTGGGCTCTTTTAAAAGGATTAAACCCCACAGCTCCGAGTTGGTTTGCGGGGAAGGGAAGCCCTTCTGGGCGGCAGCGCGGAGGAGCCACGCCCCCTGTGCTGCTGGGCGCAGTCCTCTCGTTCACAGTTAAATGAGGCTGCTGTCGGCTCCCGCTCTCCTTTTGAGAATGGCGTTTGTTCCTTCTGTGACTTCACTTCCATATTAGAATCCCACTAGAAGCCAGACCTCCAGCCGGGAAAGGGTAGGAGCAGAGAGTGTGAGCCGGGGGCACGAGCTTTCCTTCCAGCAGACAGCCTGGACCAAAGGCAGCGAGGGTCGCGGGCCAGAGGCCGGGGTCTCTGTTGGAATTCCGGGAGGTGATGGTTGGATTCGCCAGGAAGCTAGAAGCTCTCTTTCCGAGATGTGATTTCAGCAGGGGGTTAGGCACGTCACAGCAGCGTGCAAGGGTTTTCAGATTCAGAACAAAATAACCCCCGTCTGTCTTGGACAAAGGCAGACACTGAAAAGACCCCGTGGGTTTCGACGGCTCCCCCCACTGAGGGGCGGGGGGAGGGGTGCGGAAACCCACCCGGGATCGCCCACAGTAACAGCCCTTCTTTTCGTAACAGAACCAGCGGGTGCCTGCTGACATGATCTTCCTGAGGACATCAGAAAAGAACGGTAAACAGCTGGGATCGATTTGGAAAATAACCATTAACCTTTCAGTGGCAATTTGGCAAAGTAATCATTCGAAAATGTAACTGCAGTAGATGATCATTTCGGAGCCACGGAGGCGAATCCAAACAGCCCCTTTAACGGAGCAGCCCTAAAGCAATGTTCTCGGTGCTCGCAGGCCCATAGATTGTGATCATTACAAAGATACTGCTAGTTGGACCCCTGCCGGGTCTCTGCTGGTGAAATCTCATACGTACATGCACACACATGCACACGCGTGCGTGTGTGCGCACACACATGCACGCGCGCACACACACACATGCAGGCATGCTCGCACGTGCTGCTTTCCCTCCCTGGGCGGCGTGAGGCTCAGCTTCAGGCGTTGGCGGGAGGAGGAAGAGTGTCTGACAAACAGAAATTCCCTCTTTCTGAGAAAATACCAGGAGGTGTGTGATGAGGCGGGCAGTGGGACCGGGGAGAGAGGTGGGTGTCCCTTTGGGCCCTGAGTCGCGAGTGGCGGGGCCAGGCCCACCCTTGCCCATCGGTTTGCTTGTTGTTCCAGCCCGTTGGGGTTGAGCACCGCTCCCGCCTTTCCAAGCCCTCTCACTGCGCTCTCCCCGCGTGGCTGCCCCGCCTGCCCGCCCCGTCCTGTTGGCTCACGTCTCCTCTCTCTTTATTTTTGATATTTAAGCTGCTCTGAGGAAACAGGGCTGTTTCTCTCTTGCCTATCAGGCACAATCAGAGATCTTTGAACCCCCGAAAGATCCGCACTTGTATTCCTTTGCGGTTCCTGCAGCCTATTTTATTACAAATTGAATAAAAGCACGGGTGAAATCTTACACTAATAATATATGAAGTAATGCAGAGACGGGGGTGGAAGGCATGATGAAAGCAGCCTTCTTTTAAAAACTGTGGCTTTGTCCTCAAATCGGTTCTGTGTCCTGGTCCATGAGTGTTGGGGATTAGGTTCCCTGAAGGGCTCTGCCTTTCTAAAACACCCCCAGCCCCCCAAAAGATAGGAAGTTCCCCGGAGCCTTTGCTGCAGCGCCGGCGAGTTCCGCACCCTCTCTGTCTGATGAGAGACACAGCCGACCTGTGGCTTGGACTTGCACGTCAGACCCACATACGCGCCCACACAGAGTGCGCCTCGGTGATTACGGCCGACCGACCTGGCGCTCTCGGCTTGGCATGGACCAGCGCTTTAGCTCTCACAGTCCGGGCTCGGTGCTGTTCATCTCCATGTTCACACTCAAGGGAAACTGAGGCTAAGGGCCTGCAGCGAGTGAGTGTTGGGGCCCGGACTTGAACCCAGGAGGTCTGGCCCTGAGAAGGTGCTTGTAACCCCTGCCCAGAACGGACTCGAATGCGGGCTCTCTCAGGCCGCCTCCACGCTGGGCTTCTGTCACCACTGAGTCCCGACAGCAAGCTTGGGAGGTGTGTGTTTCTTCCCGTTTTATGGCGAGGACACACCGAGGTTAGCAAGGTGGAGAAGCTGGCCCGGCTCCCACTGCGAGTGAGTGGGGGAGGGAGCATTTGCACCCAGATCTTTCTGACCCTAGATCAGGGGTCCTCAAACTTTTTAAACGGGGCCAGTTCACTGCCCCTCAGACCGTTGGAGGGCGGGACTATAGTTTAAAAAAAAAACTCTGAACAAATTCCTATGCACACTGCACATATCTTATTTTGAATTAAAAAAAAAATAACGGGAACAAATACAATATTTGTATTTGCATGTGGCCCACGGGTTGTAGTTTGAGGACCCCTGGACTGTGGACACTGTGGGGCTCGGCCCCTCCCATGGCAGCTGCCCTCTCTCCGGGGACAGCTCGGTGTCACCTTCGGTCCTGGTCTGCCCATACCAGCAGCTGTGCATCCTCTGTCCGGGCTTTCACGGGACAGTCGCAGTGTCTCTCCAGAAGGTTCGAATTCTCAGAGACGTCTCAGCATGAGATGCGATGGGGGAGTAACTGGCACACTCAGCAGGGCCGCTCGGTCCGGGGGTGCATTGGTGGTGGAGGAAGCTGGAGG